GAAAGCTTGTGCTACAAGCTGTAGTAAACAGCTTGGCTCTAGCAGGCCTTGTTGGATCTTGTAAAAAGAAAAGATGAGATATGGAGTTTTAGGATGATACAGGAGTGGCCAGGACACTGGTAGACATCACCATGTATCAGGCACCACTTTATTCAGTTAACATCGACTTCATCAAGGTGATGGTAGGCGAAATGTGTCTGGTGAAGCAGATCTCTAACTACATCTAGAACCTGTGAGATACTATGCAAAGGTAGTAGTTACCAATCTAGGTGCTGACATAGGGATTCTACAGAACCTTGCATTCAGTTTCACTTGTAAAACAAGAGAACTGAGCTTCCCTAAAAATAACAACAACATCTAGTGCTGGCCATAATAGGCCCAAGAAGATTCAGTAGCATAAGTGTACGTAAAAGAAGGGGTCATCATTCCTCCATGTATACAGATCATGATCTGTGATTTACCACAAACAAGTGCCTTGGTACTATGTAATGCAGTTGTAGAACCGATGAATGAGGTGAATTGCCTATTATCTAGAAACCAGGCAGCATTGGCTTGGACAGTAATCTGTGTTAATGGGGATGCACTGTTTGTGGTGGTCTTCAGTTATGAGCAGTTGGCAGTAACGTAAGGGTTACATTCATTGCCTGTATCAGCAAACAAGTACACAGCTCTTAAACAGATGAAGTCCCTGGTTGCGGATTGTGCAAATAATCTGGATTAAACCACGTGGCTAGTGGTCAGTGACCTGTTGATTAAAAGTGTTGATTAAAAGTGTTGTGAGACCAAGTGGCTGACTGGGTTGAACAGAAATCACTAGCACCAGCAGGAATACTCATCAAACTACACAACTGCTGCATAGGCTTCTTTAGAGTATTGAGAATATAGCCAGGGTCATATCATCCTCTGCAAAAGTACATGGCCATCTCTAGTAGTGATTTTCAAAAATACAGATGGCACGTGCAGCTTCTGCATTGATTTATGATGTGCTAGTGCCTTTCTGTTGTCATAAGCAGCATTGAAAGGTGCTAAATGTTCATTACTGGCCTCTAGATACTGGCAAGTCGAGTTGTATGTTGAAAGCAGAGCCTAAAGTGTATTTAACACTTTACATAGTCTGTAAAATTTCCAAGTCATACCATTTGGCCTGTGCAACTCCTCAACCACCTTCAAAAAATTAATGGAGCCCATGCTTAAGAGTCTGAAATGCTTGGTTTGCGTGAATGATGTTTTTATATTTGGTCACACACTTGAACCTACTGTTTATTTGGGTTTAAATTGAAACATGAGAAGTGTGCACTAATGCACACAGAAGTAAAATTTCTCAGTCACATTATTGGGAGAAATGACATATTAACAGAGTGTGAACTATAAAGTATCCTGGAAAATGCTTCATATTAATGATGGTTTGTGGCTAATTCCTTCAAGACTGCCACCCTACTGTCTGATTTTACTAAAGTCAATATATATTTTAGGTGTACTGAGAAATGTGATGAAGCATTCATGTCCCTGAAGTGTGTTGTAATGGAAGTTCTTGTGCTGGTGTATCAATGACAGGACACTTTAAATTCTTGTTGGATAGTGAAGCCTGTAGTAGTGGAATTGGAGCAGTGTTTTCACGGTTTGAGGATGGTGTGAAATGTGTAACGGCCTATGTGAGTTATATACTCATGATTTCTAAATGCAGATAATGTACAACAAAGAAAGAACCATTTCAAATTGTTGTCTTTATGAAACACATTACAATACAAAGGTTCAAACCATTGTTAATACAGTCTTGGCCAAAATGTTTACATACTGTTCTATACTGATGTTATTGTCTATATGCATGAGTACTAATAGAGAAGGTAGCGTATAATCAGACAAACATGTATGAGTTGTTATTTTGGTCTGTATGAGTTGTTTGGAGTACTAGTTCGTCAAATAACACACACACACACACACATCTGTTTTGTATAAAAGAGTGTGCTTTCGCTTTAATCTTTTTCGAAACAGATCAACGCCTTGTGTAGACAATTTCCCTGTACTTGATGTAAAGTCATGCCTCATGTCAGAAGCTATAGAGCGTCAAATTGTTCTACTGGTAGACATCAGAAAACTACTGCCTGAGATGATTGTGTTTTGATCAGGTTAACACGTCAAGGTCGAAAAAAGTCTTGCAACATCTTACAATAGATATTAAATGAACACATTCATTATAGGGTATCCAGAAGAACAGTGAATAGAAGATTGACCAAACAAGATTATTTTGCAAGGGCTATCTGCAAACCGATATTAACTAGAATTCACTGCCTTAACTGTATAACTTGTGCAAGACAACATCGTTTGCCTGGAGAACAGATGAGGAAAGACTGCCTTTCCCACAGAGAACACACAGGAGGTAGTGCAGTACATGTTTGGGCAGTTATTCATCATGGTGGAAAAATTGCTCTTCATATACTTCAAGGAGACGTCAATGGTGCCTCCTACATGCATCATATTTAGAAAATATTTATTCTATATGCTAGGGCAGGGTTTGGCAAAACTTTGTGTTTCAGGACGACAATGCCACTGCCAACAATTCGCGTATTGTACAAGATTATCTCAACCAGGAGGATGTTACAAGATTACTATGGCCATCAAAGTCTCCAGATTGTAATCCCATTAGGAACTGTTAGGCAGAAGTGAGTCGGAAAATTGCTAACCGCAACCCTAAACCAGCTACTATAGCTGAGTTGCAGCGCCTTTTAGTGACACGTTGGGATGAAATCCGGTAGATTATATCAATAACCTCATCGACAGCATGCAGTGTGACCTCGTAGAGGTTATTAAAGTACGAGGAGGAGTAACCAAGTGCTGAATGTTTAATATGAACTGATATAAGGTAACAAATGCCATTTATAATAATTTGATGGTATATTTTCTCATTATATATGTTTTGGTAAGGTTTTGTTGTGATAGGTGAAATGCAGAATTACACATCTTTCTACAGGCGTCTGATAAAATTGTTTGCTCTTCTAGTAAATCGTTCATGATGTCCGTAGGACCTGTCTCATTAAGGAAATTACATAAATAGATGTTTAATTTCTCATTAATTTCTCAGTTTGACAGCACTAAGCGTATTTGTATTCCATTTTGATAATAATAATCTTATATGTTACAAAATATGCAAGCATTTTGGCCAAGACTGTATGAAGTTACATACTTTACTGATGACACCACCATAACTATTAGTTTATATTGGATTGCAAGCTCTTTGATGTTACATGTAATCCACATAAATGGAATAAAACACTTACATATAGTTATATAGAACAGTAACCATGTTTTCTACTGAAAATAAAAAATGCATAATGTTTATGTATATGCAATACTCATATAGATAACTGCAATAAGCTTGCATTGCAAAAGCACCATATCTCGCCCAATAAAAAAAGAAGTGCTGCCAACTTAATGAAAACAAATCCTTAGTTAACAGTCACCATTTCACGCAGGTTGAATCACAGTCATTTTAAAATAAATCGTGGGCAGAGCACAGATAGCCCATTGTGTAGCTTGGTGCTTCATTACAGACAAATAAACTTGAAAATTGTCGATTAATTTAACATATCTAATTTTGTTGTTGTTGTTGCTTTAATGCAAAGATACACAATTGGCTATTTGCACTCTATCCATCACAGGGAAGTAAGCCCCGAATTTAAACATTATAATTTCATAAAGTTAACTCTGACTCCCCAGGGGACAATAAACATAATACTAAATAAAAGCAAAACAGAACAAAGTAACATTAACAATATGATTAGAAAATAATTATGAGCTTTCAACTATAAAACAAAGTTACTAGAGTGTTATTAAGTTTTAACAGCATTACTGATTAATTAAATATATGCTTTGGGGAGGTGGGGTGATGAAGAGTAACTCAGGTGTTACTTTATCAACATTAAAATTATTAATGTTAACATACATTTTATGATTCATGTTTATTTTACCACACTTCGTTCAAGTACACTAGGCATTTGGTACATTTTATCGAAGCAATGCATCCATTAAATATGCTTCCACATATTCCACCATAATGGTCTGCTACAATGCATGAAATAAACTGCTATGTATAGTATTGTTGTGGTTTGTACTTTTTAATTCAGCAAGTTTTATTTAAGAACCTAGATGAGATGATAGCATGTTATATTAAAATGTTGCAAGAGCATGACATGCTCATATATGTCACCATCCAGTGACGCATCACAGAAATGCAGACAGTCTTTCTGTAATGTCAGAACCTATCCATTCATCGAATGACCTGATCCAGGACACCATTTGGAAGAGAAAGACATTTTTTCGATTGCAAACCTACCAGTATCGGATTCCATTAGTGAATGGGCACCACGATTCACACTACAAAAGCTTTGGGAAGAGCACCTTGGAGATATCAAATTAGCAAGGGTGCTCTTTGCCGTACAGCAAGGTGAAGCACAGCCAGCAACGTAGTGCAGACACATGCAGTACTTGTACAAGCAGTTACAGGTGCCTGAAGGCATGCTATAGCCTAACTATAGACCACTTAGACATGTCTCTTGAGGTGCTGGGGTGGTGAAGATGTGTACTTCACTTTATCACAGCAGTTTGATACTTGGCCAAACAGGTGATACAAATGAATAAGTTGATGCTTGAAACTTTGTTCATCCTGATAAACCCCACTAGATTGAATACTTGCTTTTACATTTTGATGGTAAATGTGCAATGAAACACAGTTTAACTAGTTGTTCATTGCACATACTTATGTTTGGTAGAGAAATACTGCTCCCTGTAGATGTGATGTATGGGCCATTCCCAAATGCAAGTTCCTACAATGTGCACAGGAACATGTGGAGTTGCTGTAATCTGCATTAGCCAACATACACGAATTTGTACATCTGCAGTTGGGAAAATCTGTTATTTATTCTATTATTGACACTTAGTTTAGCTTTGATACAGCCCAACAGCATGAAAGACACTAATATCTGGCTCCTTTGATGTACGAGAAACAATGGTCACATGGCATGTGTAATCATCGGAGATGGAGACTGTTCACTCTGGCTAATCAGAGTTAATTTGACTTTTTATTTTCAATCTCAACTATTTCTGTTTAAGATAAAATTTAGTAATCGACTAAGATGCCAGTGACGCTCTCCTGATCACTATGGCTGGGATTATCTACCATATCTGCAGTTAGGACAGTTACTGCTTACGAGATCAATGACTGAAAGGAAGTGTCATTCCTTGCTTTAATCTTTTTTTTTACCTATTCAGTTAACTATATTTACTGGCTGTCATCCAACCAATCCGAAAGTGTCACTCCAGTATAAAGATGCAGCAATCACATTATCACCAGTAGTGGTAGTATAATATAAAGCATAAAGCCTATAAAGATGGAGCAATGATATTATCACCAGTAGTGGTAGCATAATACAAAGTAATGGGTTATAAAAGTGAAATAACGCTAAAAGGAGAGTGGAAATCAAAGTTTTTGAATGACCCTCCATGAGCAAAATTGTGTCAAGACACTATGTTTTAGTAGGAGCTATATGGCATTCTCTGTAGAGGGTACATGAAATCATCACTGTCAATGATAGAAATAGCCAAGAAAGAAAATAGAAACGTTCCAAAGAGAGCTGTTAAGTCGACAATCGATAACAGTTTACTAATAACTTTCCTGTAATTACATATGTGAATGTTATCTCGAGAGCAGAAACATACACTTCAGCACGAAGTGTTCTCAGTGAAAGTATAGTTGCTCGAAAACTGATACTGACAAGAGGTAACCACACTAAAAGGTTGAAATGGATAAAAGACCACAAACATGGAATGAGCAAAGCTGGTGACATGTGTTCTTTATAGATGTTTGTTTGTTTTGTTGTTAAGCATAAAGCTACACAATATCTATCTGTGCTGTGTCCACCACGAGTATCGAAACTAATTTTTAGTAGTGTAAGCCCTGAGACTTATCTTCGAGCTATTGGGGGCTTTTACAGATAAATCCAAATTTAATTGTTTGGCAACAATCATCGACAGTTTGAAAGACAGTAGAGAGGAGAATGGTGTCGTAGTTAATGTTCAATATATACGGTGAAGTATGGTGAGGAATCAGTACAAGTATGGAGCTAAATCTCAACCAACAGTATCTCAGTGATCTACACAAAAACTGATGACACTGTGACCGCCAACAAGTACAT